GGATTTGATCCCCAGTCGATAAAAAAAGAACAATTTCTGGTCCACAAAGCAAGTTTTAATAAATTTAAAAGATGCCAGCCAGACATAATGGTGCAATCTTGAAAGTAAGTTGGGCAGTGGGTGTGACATTCTTGTGGTGCCTATGAGCTATTTCACTTGGACTAAGTGTTTCATTATTTTTAACTGTAATACAATTTTAGCAGATTGCTTAGAACAACAAGGTTTATTATCCCTGGATTCTATTGGTTGGGTATTCAGGTGCAGCTTAGCTACCTACCTCAAGCAGAAGAAGGTCTCTCCTGAGGTTGAGTCACACTTGTCAGCTGCTGAGGTCTGGGGTAAAGGGGAAGTTCTGCTTCCAAGTTCAATGTGATTGCATGGCTGTAGGCACACTTTCTCTTCTGCCCACTGCTGCCAGCAATTCAAAGTCACTGGCTTACCCCCTGGGCAGGCAAGTGATCCAAGAGAACAAATGAGAGCATGTGTAAATGATTTTTTAAAATAATAACTTAATCTTGGATATAATATTAGCTCTGTTGTATTCTATTTCTTGGAAAGGAGGCAATAAACTCAGCATACATACGAGAGTGTGACTATGAGAAGGCAGGATTATTGGGGAGATTTTTAGAGGCTGCCTACCACAACCAGATTCTAAAAACCTTATAAACCATGGTAAGTATTTCTGATTCTAGTCTAAACTGTTAAGTGTTTTACTACTACTTCTTTTTTTTTTTTTTTTTGGTATTTGGAATTTAATAGGGGTGCTTTACCATTAGATACATTCCCTGCCCTCCCCTTTTTATTTTTTGAGACAAGATCTCACTAAGTTTCTGAAAGCCTTGCTAAATTGTTGACTCTGGTCTTGAACTTGCCATTCTCCTGTCTCAGTCTCCCAAGTAGCTGGGATTATAGGCATGTGCCACTGGGCCCAGACTGTTAAACATTTTGAATGAGGAAGTCATTTGATCATACTTGGATTAAAAAATTAGTCTGTCTTGAGCTACAGTGAATGCTGGAGACCAAATAAAAGATCATTGCTGTAGGACAGGTAAATGTGGTGAACTTTAGTGGAAATTGAGATAAGTGGATTCATTCAAAGAATATCAAGAATGTAGAATTATTGGACCTAAAAGATAGGTGCAGTGTGGGAGTTGAAAGGAAAGTCAATGAAGAATCTATGGTTTCTGGTAGTGTTATTTATTGGGGTAGGACCACAGAAAGACTTGAGGGGTAAGGGGGAAATAAGTTGGGTTTTAGACTAATTAAGATGAATGTGGTAATATAAACAGATTTACATTGATGGGTGGTAGTTTGTTAGGTCTGCTGATTGCCTTCTGAGGTCTGGGCTACAAATACAGATTCTGGAGCATCTACCCTATAATTGTAAATTATGCCATAGTAGAGATTGAGAGTATTTATTTAATAGACCAAAAGAAGGTCTAATACTAATCAGAGAAATTCTGATATTAAAAAGGTGAAGAAACTGGCAAGAATTTAAGAGAAAAAGCAGGAGATAGTGGTGACACGTTTCTTTTCATCTACTGATGGGTTTAATTTTGTTTTTTGTGGTACTGGGTATTGAATCCAGGGGTGCTCTACTACTGAGCTACACTCCCTGTCCATTTTTAAAAATGTTTGAGTCTAGGTCTTACTAAGTTGCTGAGGAGGATTTCAAACTTTTTGATTCTCCTGCCTCAGCCTCCCCAGTTGCTAGGATCACAGCCTTGCAACACCAGACCTGACTTGAGCTTATATTTTTAATTCTGCCTGGAACAAAGTTGTTACACTCAGTGTTGAAAAAAAAAGACTGTCTGAGAGAGCCTACTTCTTTTGTTCAGCAAATACTTTTTGAATATTTTGAAATTTTTTGAAAATAATGCACTGCAACTTCAAAGTACATAGTGAAATAATGTGTTCCAACTGTTTCAGATATTTTTATAAGTTATCAGTATCTTGGAGGTGTCACTGAGGTGTGGGTCTTTCTTTTTTTTCTTCAAGTTCAGAAACATGATTTTCATTTACTTTCCCATAGATGAGCAAAGAGCTGCTTTATATTAATCAAACTAACAAGAGCTCAGCTGAATAACTGAGCTTTAAATTTAATATCATAAATTTATAATAAGAAATATAAATAGCCACCCAACAGAGTTGCAGTTTCTCCCTTCTACGAAAGCCAGGATATTCTTTGTTGTGCCTTTTTTCAGCACAGAAAGTTGACACTCTAAATGTCAAATTTCCTTAGGCGATAGTGGACTATACATGCATTCTACTATGTGATATACTCTATCCCTAAAAGCAATAGGAAACTAAGACACTTAATAATAAACCCTTCCTTCCTTCCTTCCTTCCTCCCTCCTTTCCTTCCTTCCTCCTTTCCTTCCTTCCTTCCTCCCTTCCTCCCAGGGATTGAACTCAAGGGCTCTCAATCCAGACACATCCCCAGCCCTATTTTGTATTTAGAGACAGGATCTCACTGAGTTGCTTAGCGCCTCACTTTTGCTGAGGCTAGCTTTGAACTTGTTATCCTAGTACCTCAGCCTCCTGAGCTGCTGGAATTATAGGCTTGCACCACTGGCCTGGCCTGATAAACTAGTCTTTTTGACTTTTTTTCCAGGCAACACCTCTACACATGTATATACCTTTTGCCCTTACTCCATCTCTTTTTGATAATTAAGCATGAACTCAAAAAATTAAATGCTGAAGATGTGACCATGACAAATTTAGTTTTACAACTTTACAGTAGATTTTTTTTTTTTTAAATCCAGTTGTGTGCAATGCCTTGAATATTCATGCTGGACCAAGGAAACAGCATTTTGCAAATTGGAATATGGTGGATTCCCCATTCCTACTCTAGATGCTTATCAGAAGTGCAAATGTGGATCAGATGTGGGTTGGAGGAGTCCAGAATGACTTCAGGGTTTTTCGTTGATTTTTCTTTTTTAAACTGAACAAATAGAAGAGAGTTGCCATTTACCATGATAGAGAAAAATACCAGAGGAGTGAATTTGGTAGAAAGAACAGTTGTTTTGAGATGCCTAATAGAGTTTTTCAGAGACAATTTTTGAATAGGCAGTCGATAAATGATTCTGAAATTAGGAGTGACATTTAGCTAGAGATAAGAGTGTTTTAGACTTATTAATGATATGAGACAAAGTTAGATTATGAATAGAGAAAAGAAGAAGACTCAGCTCAGGACATGAGCAAGGTGATATTGCAGATGAACTAACAAAAGAGAAGTCATTAAGACATAAGGAAATCCAAGAGAGTAGTATTTCAGAAGCAGATTGTTTCAGGGTAGCAATGAAGTGCTGGGAAGGGCATTGTGAAGAGAAAATTTGTAGCATTGTTTATTATCTTGATTGTGGTGATGATAATGGTTTTCCAGGTTTTTATATTATTTATATATATATATATATATATATATATACACACACACACACACACATGTCTTAAATTATACATTTTATGTAGTTATTGTATGTAAATCATGTCTTAATAAAGCTGTTTTTAAAAATCAAACATACATTCATGATTTTTTTTTTAGAGGAAGTGATCAGCAGTCAAATGCTGTTAAATAGATCAAGTAAGGTGACAATTCAGAATTGACCACAGAAAATACAGGATGAATATCCTGAGTCTGATCCTAAATACTTCAAAATCTGAAACTTTTTTAGTGCTGTAAGTGGAAAATTTTATATTTGCTTTTTCATGTGATGGGTCACAGTCAAAACATAGACACTAAAAGTATTGAAATTGCCTTCAGGCTGTGCAATAAGGTGAATATGAAACATAAATCATCCACAAGATAATCTTATAAGGTTGATGCAAATATTCCAAAATCTAAAAAAAAAAAAAAATCCAACATCTGAAACCTTTCTGATCTCAAGCATTTTGAATAAGGGATATTCAATACGTAGCAGCATCTTTGGCATCATTTACTAGAATAACATCAATGGAGTTGTGGGGATTCTTTTTTTTTTTTTTTTTTTGGTAATGGAATTGAACTCAGGGGTCCTTTACCACTGAACTACATCCACAGCCCTTTATATTTTTTGAGACAGGGTCTTACTAAGTTACTTAGGGCTGCCCAAGTTGCCAAAACTGGTTTTGAATTCACAATCGTCATGCCTCAGCCTCCCAAATTGTGAAATTACAGGCTTGCAATACTGTGCCTGGCTTATTTGTGAGAGTTAAAGAGAGAATGGGAAAGGAGATATAGGAAGTGAAGGGGAAAGGGTTTTTTTGTTGTTGTTTTGTGATTTTTATTTTGTTTTTTATACAAGTAAGAAACTAACTTTTTATACTGATGGGAATAAATTTAAAGGGAAAAATTCAGGAAAAGGAAGAAATTGCTGGAATGATATTCATTCCTCTTTGTCATTGGTCTCAAGAATATGGTTATAAGGGGAGGGGAGGGGAGGGGAGGGGAGGGGGGATAGTAGAGAATAGGACAGATAGCAGAATACATCAGACACTAGAAAGGCAATATGTCAATCAATGGAAGTGTAACTGATGTGAAACAGCAATCTGTATACGGGGTAAAGTGGGAGTTCATAACCCACTTGAATCAAACTGTGAAAGATGATGTATTAAGAACTGTGTAATGTTTTGAACGACCAACAATAAAAAAAAAAAAAAAAAAAGAATATGGTTATAATAGCGGGCATGGTGGGGCATACGTATAATTCTAGCTACTCAATAGGCTGAGGTAGAAGGATTGCAAGTGTGAGACCAACCCAGGGAACTCACTGAGATCCTGCCTTGAAAAAATGGAAAGGACTGAGGATATAGCTCAATGGTAAGTTGCCCCTGGGTTCAGTCTCCAGTACTGGGTGGAAAAAGAAAAAGGAAAAAAATCTGGCCATGATTATAAAAATTAATTTCTAAATCTGTTTGAATATGATTTTGTTTTATTCACCATGTATTTAAAACCTCTGGGTTTCATGGGTGATTTCAAACATGTTTTCACTTAAAGCTGTGTACGTTTTTTATGTGTTGCAGTTACTGTATTTGATACTCTTCGTCTTGTTTACTAACAATAGTCGATATTTGTCATGTGTTGATGTCTCATATTTTGTTTCATACAGTTTGTAATATCTAGGCCTCCACTTAAAAATTTGAGTCTTTAAATCCAGCATTTACCATAACAACTGTGATTTTTAATAATTTGTTTATTTTTGCAGTGTTGAGGAGCTAACCCAGGGCCTTGAATTTGGAGTCAAGTGCTTTACCACTGAGCTATATCCTTAGCCCATGACTTGAGTTTTAGATGAGCTACCACTTCTAGATAGTCTTTTTCTTAATAAAATACACTATCCCTGTAAGGTTTAAAAGAGATTTCCTGGAGAATTTGAAGAATTCATTTTTGAGCATCCCGTATTTTTATGATTAATTGCTTTGGAGATGAGAGAAAATTGATGTAAAATTTTGCTTGGGGTAGCAGTTTTTCCAAATTTTCTAAGTTGGATAACTCTGCCATATTGTTTTTCCATAGGTGATAGGTAACGCAGGAACTTTGAAAAGAGGCCTTTTATTCTCAGCCTTGTCTTATTTGGGTTGTGAAACTTATCAAGTCATTTCACAGGCTGCTGTTGTTCATGCCGCAGCCAAAGGTAAGCATAAACTAAATATCTGGGAGACTTAGAGTTATTTTTGTTTGATATTTTGATATTAACAGTTGTTTTTGAATAGATAATGAAACTAATATTGTTATAGTCCAGGTTATTTTTTGCTCTTATTCTGTACATGTATTAATTTTTTTTAACAAACTAAAATTTCTTTAGTAACAAATACTTTGTTAATACTTAATATTTTTGTAATTGGTTGAAAAGTGAAAAAAATATTATAAGTCTTATTTGGTATAATATAGACTGGCTAATTTTTAAAACAAATTTAGTTAAATCAGTTTTCTGAGGGAAAGAGCTAAAATTTTGGTATATAGAGAAATATGATTTTAATTTTTTGGACTAATACTTTTTGGTTTATAGTCCTCATTTTTAAATCATAAAAGGTGACTGGGAAAAGAAACATTTGATTTGAGGTAGGTTTTTTGATGGGGAGTTGTACAAGGTATTGAACCCAGGGGCACTGTATCCCTGAGTTGGATTCCTAGCCCTTCTGTTTTTTCAGTTTTGAGACAGGATCTTGCTAAGTTGCCCATGTTGACCTCGAAGTTTGGAGCCTTCTACCTCAGCTTTCCTGAGTTGCTGGGACTATAGGCACATGCCCATCATTCCTGGCTGATGAATATCTTTTAAAGTTCTAATAGAATAATAATTTGAAACTGCTATCAAAAATGATTAATTGCCTAGTCATTTATCCATGACTGTTTGTTTTTATTTGCTACTGGAAATTGAACCTAGGAGCATTTTACCAGTCCCTTCTTTTTAAAAATATACGTTTTAAGATAGGGTGTCCTTAAATTTCTGAGGGTCTTTCAGAGTTGATGAGGGTGGCCTTGAACTTGGGATCCTCCTGCCAGAGTCTCTGAGATTACAGGAATGTGCCATTGTACCTGGCTACTATTTTGTCTTAAAACAGATAACTGAGAACTGCTATGCTTTCTTTTTATTATTACTTTTTTAATGTATCATTTTATAAAGAAAGGCAAAGCAGAGGATTTGTATTTGTCACTGGCTCATTGACAATATTTGATAAATACAAAAAGCGTCTGTTTAAAGCTCCCTAGACTTTTCACAGTAACTTTAATTTTATAATTATTTTTTAAGAGTCAAAGTGGCAGAGATTAGAACCCATATTTTTATTTTTCTGTCTTAGTTTCATTATGTTTTAGTATTGTTGCAGAACTGATTTAGTGCTTCCCTAGGCAATAAAATATGACACTTTGAAAGGCAAAGCCAAAATTGTTTTTAGCCTTAGTGATCACAGAACACTTTTTTCAGAAGTGTCTTTATGACATAAAAAAAATCACTGAATATATGTTCATATGAAAACATTTTAAGATGATTTGCCTTCTTGAGTCATGTACTAGCTGGGTACAGCTGCAATAGCAAAATTGAGGAGATATCAAACAGTTAGTGGTTCTTTTCACACCTCAGCAAGTTTTTAAGCTACTTCTTTTTTTTAAATATTTATTTCTTAGTTTTTTTAGGTGGACACAATATCTTTACATTTATGTGGTGCTGAGAATCTAACCCAGTGCCCCACGCATGCTAGGCGAGCGTGCTACCATTTGAGCCACATCCCCAGCCCCTTTAAGCTACTTTTTGCCATTTTCTTCCTCCATCTTTTGAGAGAGCAACCTTGAGCTGGACTGTGGGAGTCCTGCAGACCAACCAGAGAATTGATGCTATAGGAGCAAATTTATCTTACCAGTGGATGGCTGTGTGTTCCCATGAGGCAGCATGCTTCCCACTCAAGGGCACCTGGCCCTTCACCCCTGTTTCCAAGATGGGGACTGTTGAGAGCAAACTTATTAAAAATTTCACTTCAGAGGAATTCATTAATCATAGTAAAATAGTAAAGATCTCTATAAGTGAATTGGAATGGATGGCCTGCCTGTGCTATAGGCATCTTATTAAAAGGCTTGAGTAATGAACTTGCCTCCCTAGGTGTTAATGAAGGCAAATTTAAGGGTTTGACAGTAGATCTTCAGCATGGTATTTCTTTCTTTCTTTCTTTTTGGTACTCGGGGTTAAACCGAAAGTCACTTTACCACTTAGCTACATCCCCAGCACTTTTTATTTTTTATTTTGACACAGGGCCTCACTAAGTTACTTATATTCTTGCTAACTTACTGAGGCTGGCTTTGAACTTGTGTTTCTCCTACCTCAGTCTCCTGAGTCGCTGGGATTACAGGCATATAGCACCACAACCAGCAACATGGTGTTTCTTTCAGTGCCAAATATAGTTTGCAGCAAAAGATTACTTCATCATTGCAAACTCCAGCCTACTGATTATCACAGCATGTGAATGTCCAAGAAAAAGGAGAAACATGCCTTAATGTAGTCCACTGAAATGTGTCCATCTTTAAATTCATGATTTTCAGTGTTACCCAATATAATTGCCACTGCAAACTAAATAGTAGTTTTCAATTTAGTAGATATCTTATGTATTTTGGAAGTTGAGTGCATTTGAATAAACTTGGATTCCTAAACATTGGAAAAGGAAAGGGGGTGGATTGACTGCCCTGTTTATTTAGCCCTCTAGCTCTTTTTCCTAGCATTCAGATTGTGTGGTATTTATTTTTACAGTTCCTAAGTAACTGCATCAAAGAAAGGGTTTTAAGGAATCTCTGTTGTATTAATATTTTGTGGTTGCCATTTGGTCCAAAAAACATATGAATCTGTTTATTGTGTTATAAAATTCCACCTATCATGCTCATTGTTTTTGTTCTGAATTGTTTATTCCTATGTTCATTTATATGCTATAAAAAAGTTGTAACTTCCTTTCAGTGTAAAAATATAAGGATGTAAACAGAAAAATAACTCTAAATGTTAATACTATTCATAACATTAAACCTTGGCAGGAAAATGTTTTCACATTCTGAGGGTTGACTTACTCTGAAAACTAAGTTCACTGTTTTTATTTAAATTTGAATGAAAACTGGCCTATATTTTAGAATCCCTTCTGTATTTTGAAAGCATATTTGGAACACTGAAAAGTTAATACAAAAAAAATAAAATTATTTAGCCTGCTTTGGTCTTATTTAGCTTTATTTTCTTTTTCTTTTTCTTTTTGGCTGAACACTGCCTATTTTAACTTCAAAAAAATTTTAATTAACATGTAATAATTGTATATGTGGTACAATGTGATATTTTGATATGTGAATATAATTCAAAGTGATTAAATCAAGATACTTAACATTTCATCACTGTATTTTTGTGATAAGACAAAAATGTACTCTCCTAGGAATTGTGAAATATATAACATATTAATAACTGTAGTCACCATGCTGTGCAATAGATCTCAAAAACTATTCTTCCCAACTGAAATTTTATACCCTTAGACTAACTTCTCTCTATTCCCTCTGCCACCTCACCCCATCCCAGTGATCATCCATGGTAACCACTATTCTACTATCTACTTCCAAGTTTGACTCTTTCAGATTCTGCATGTTAATAACATCATACAGTATTTATATTTTTGTGCTGGCTTATTTAACCTCTAGATTTATCCATATTGTCACAAGTGACAGTTGCCTTCTCTTTTTAAGGCTGAATAATATTCTATTGGGTATATCTGCCCTACTTTTAAAAATTTATCATACGATGGATATTTAGGTTGCTTCTATATTTTATCTATTGTGAATAATGCTGCAATGAACATAGAACTGCACATATCTCTTCAAAATACTGGTATCAATTCTTCTGGATATACAGGTTGATTATTCTTTATCCAAAAGGCTTGAGATGCAGAAATGTTTGAAATTTTGGAGTTTTTCATAGACTTTGATCCTCTATAACCCCAAAATGCAAAATGTGAAATGCTCCAAAATCTCAAACTTTTTTTTTAATATAAGGTCAGCACTTAAAAAATTTTTTGAGTTTTCTCAGGATTTTGGATTTCCAGATTAGAGATGTTCCACCTAATTAGAAGTATAATTGCTAGATCATATGGTAGTTCTATTTTTAGTTTTTGAGAAACCCCCATACTGTTTTCTATAATGGCTGTAGTTTTATTAAACAGTAACCACCACTTTGTAATTAATTTACTGGTTAATTCATATAATTTGTGAGATTAAAAGACAAATTAATTCATAAAATAGTTAATTTATTAAATATTAATTCATAAAATAATTCTAACAAATTTTTAAACATGGAAAATGATCCATGTTTCTGTTAAAATATATATTTGGGTGTTTACAGGTTTCTTTTGTCTTATATTTCTCTGTGCTGTATTTTTTTAGGAATTGGCATTCAGATAATTTTGCCCTTCAAACTTCTGCTTAATTCTCATTATATCTGCTTCATGCTTACTGGAGCCAGTTTAGAAGGTTTTTCCTCCTCCATTTACCAGGACTATATTCTGTAGTGGAACTTTCTTGTAAGTTAATTAAAGTTTAAAGACATATGTTATGTGTTACTGATATTTCAGTTGAATGGGATTATAGAGCCCCTTTTTCCCCTCTCTTTCCTCCACATTTTTGGACCTCTGTATTGGTAGGTATGCTGTCCTATAGAGCTATATCCCAAATTCAGGGCTGAATTTTAAAAGTAGTAATATACATAATTACCACAAGGTGGTGCTGAATACCCACTTACTTGCAGTAACTGAAGGAACTGCAGAAACTTAAATTATTTTTCTATTTTTTAATACTTTTTAGTTGCTGACCGATCTTTATTTTATTTATTTGTGTGAAGTGCTGAGAATCAAACCCAGTGAGTGGCTCACACATGCTAGGCAAGTGCTGTGCCACTGAGCCACAACCCCAGCCCAAATTATTACTTTAAAATAGAAAAATTATAAAGCCCCTTAAAGAAAGATATTCTAATACATTCACAGTACTGTTTTGTGTATGTGAAAGTTCACTCATAAAATGCTTAAAAGATAAGTAACTTAAAGGTTCTTCATGTATACTTTAGTTGTCTTTTCTTGTACTTTAAATAATTCCTCTTTTCTGATGAACCTATAGAACTAAGTGTTCCTTCTTATGTATTCATTTGTAATACTGCAGAACATTTTTGGTAGTGTTATTTCCAGTGACATACATTATTATATAACACACAATATTATTGATGTGAAAGATTTGCCTTAAATTTGGATGATTTCATTATAACTTAGTTCTGGAATCCAGATTTTCTGCTTTTTAAAGTTCTTTGTAGAGCAACTTTAGAAGTAGGGCAGTTTTGCTTGACAGAGGAGTACCTAAGGAGTATTCATTTTTGTCCAGATACCTTTGGCATGGCTAGACAGACTACTGTTAACAAGAAAAAACTAGAAAACCAAGTTTACTAATATATGCATGTCTTACCACTAACATTTCTTTTTTGGGGGGAGGAGCGGGGAGTACCAGGGATTGAACTCAGGGACACTTGACCACTGAGCCATATCTCCAGCCCTGTTTTGTATTTTATTTAGAGACAGGGTCTCCCTGAGTTCTTAGTGCCTCACTGATGCTGAGGCTGGCTTTGAACTCATGATTCTCCTGCCTCAGCCTCCAGAGTCGCTGGGATTACAGGCTTGCACTACCATGCCTGAAATACCTGAGATTTTTAAAAAGGGGATTAGGGAACAATGACATTTATCATTTTCTTTGCACATGAAAAGTTTGACAATGTTATTAAGGATCCAGGCTCTTTCCAAGTTTCTGCACCCCCATCTTTCTTGGGTTTTTGGTCTTATACTTGTTGCCTCATGGTTGGCTGCAAGATCACTGCCATACACCAGGCATCATGTCCACATTAAGACAGAAAAATAAGACAAAGCTGCAGCACCATCAAGTTCTCTGGTACCTATCCCTTTTAATCGGAAAAGCAAAGTTTTGTAGAAGACCCAGGTGAATTTAATTGGACAGAATCAGGTCACATGGTCATGCTCCACGGTTTAAAAAGCCTGGGAGGGCCAGTGTTTGCTAGAGAAGAACAGGAGGGCCTGATGATGGCTCCCTGCCCTAGCGGAAGATTTTTTAAGCAGTGGTGATTTTGGTAACTTAGGTCACTGCCTCCATCAAAATTCTATCATCGAACTGTAGATCAAAGAGTATCTCCATGGATGAATAGGTGTTTGCTCTCTGTTGTAGGGGATAGGAGGATTGAAAGACCTTTAGAGAAGTAGAGGTGTTTTTACCATTTTGGTCTCCCAGGGCCTACAGGAGATTTAATTCCCCCTTTTCCTCTTTTATTCCTTTTAAAAAATTTCAATAAATAAGTAGAGGATCTCTCTAACTAGATAATAACTAAAAAATATTGGTGAATTTCAAGATTAAACTTTCTTGTTGCTTTCTTGTTGAGTTTGTGAGCACCCTCAATTGCACAGGAAGTGGGAAGTACAGGAAGGAGGGCAAAGACCCCCCCCTCTACAGGAAGGGGCCTGGGCTGTGGTGATTCCCAGATGTTCCTATTGAGCACTCAGGGCTGATGGCAAGTAAGGCCAGGCTCCTTCTTGTGAAGAAAAATGTTTTTTTTAACCCTTCATGATTTGGCTGAAGATACCTTTAGCATTCACAGATATTTAGAGTAGTCTCATCAAATTCCTTGTTATAAAATGAATTATAAGAATTACATATATGATATGGGATTCAGTGACATTGGATTTAGTGACAAAGCAAGTGACTATAACAACCTCAAACACCTCTGTCACAATAAAAATAACCTCAATTAGTGAAATTAATGACAAAATATTTTTTGAAGAAGAGGTAATTAAAAAAAAAATCTCAAGAAAAAAATCTGACGACGGATGGTGGTGATATTTGTAAAACAATGTGAAAGGACTTAATGTCACTGAATTATAACTTAAAAATGATAAATTTCGTTATGTCCATTTTGCCCCAATAAAAAAAAATTCAAATGTATTCTTGTTGAAAGACCTGCTTAAATGAA